TCGACCGAGGAGCGATCGAGCAGATGATCCAAGATATGATGCCTCATGCTAGAAGAATTGGTAGACCCGTCTACCGGAGGCCATATCCGGAGCATTTTGATCAAGAGGAATTTCCACGATGATTCAAAGTTCCGGATTTTGCATTATTTTCAGGAGATGGACTCCAGTCGACCTTGGAGCATATTGGTCGATTCACTGCTCAATGTGTCGAAATCGGACATCGCGAGGTCTTGAAATTAAGGCTATTCCTGAGCACCCTCACGGGGGCTGCTTTTTCATGGTATGTCAAACTTCCTCATAACTATATTCCAAATTGGCAGACCATGGAGCAAATCTTCCACGACCAATTTTATCAGCCGGAGCTAGATGTGTCAATGGCCGACTTGGCCAAGATGCGCCAAGGACCAAACGAGTCAGTCCAAGAATACTTGGGGAAATTCAGAGAAGCAAGGGCTAGATGTACGGTCAACATGCTTGAACATGAGTTTGCAAAGTTGGCTCAAGGTGGGTTATTGCTCGATCTTCTGAAGAAGTTCGAGGGTATTGAATTTCGCGATATTTAAGACCTCCTACTTCGGGTGGATTGATATAAAGCTCTTTTAAAGGAGGAACAACAAAAGAATCGGCTGACAAATCGACCGACTTTCTATAGAGATCTACCAAAACCTTCCACATCTAGAACCATGGATGTCCATGTGGTGGATGTCGAAGATGTGGATTCAAAGGAGGCAGATGAGGAAGTCTTCCTAGCAGAAGAAGAAGAATCGGCGGGGATAAACTTGGCTAAAATCGTGGTCAGCGAACCACACGTATGCAAGGCTTTGTCCAAAGCCTCCAAGGATCAGAGGCTGACAACGGTCCAGATTTCTAAGTTTAGCGGAACTTCTCAAAAGGGAGTCGAAACCACGTCCTATACCTTTGACATTTCGAAAGTGTTGGCTGCGCAAATGTCACGGCCTGGAGTTCCGGGCCGAGGGGATATGCATTAACACGTGGCTTCCTTCTTTTGGATGCGGTGCGGTTGTGCGTGGGCGTGCCAGCACGGTCTACCGTGCGTCGAGATGGTGATGTAGATGAAATGGTTAAGTGGTGCGCCTGTTTGGGTTCGACTCCTTATCAAACGACTGTGGCCGAGAAAGGAACTGATCTCGGCCGTCAGGTTCACGGCCTAAGCTACAAGGCCGTTTAGTGGTGGTGTTGATGGTGGATTTTGGGCGTTGCTCCGGCGCGTTGCTCAGAGAGCGACGGTCGTATGATATATGGGATGAATGAAAGAGTAACAGAGGTGGTGCTCCGGCGCCTTGAAAATCAAGGGTCGTATGATATATTAATGAACAGATTTTCCTTACAATCTAACACTACTCCTAGGAAAGCAAGTAAAGATATTGAAAGTGCATTACAGGAAAATATAATTTGCTCCGTGGGAGGCTTTTGGTTTGGTGTTTGAACCCTTTGAATGTTGCTTGAACTTGGTATTTATAGGAAGAGCTCTTGGAGGAGTAATCGGGGCTGAAAATCTGCATGGTGGAGCCTGATCAGAGCAAGTGGGTAGTCTAATCGACATTTGGGATCGTGAAGCATGGTGGTGTGACCCCATGAATCCTGGTAAATCTCGGCCGCCGCCCTGATCGTGGGTTCTGCGCTTCTGGCCATGAGGACGCATTTAATGCCCTTGTTTGGTGGTTGGTGATCTGACCTCAATTTGTAAGCATGTTTGCGCCTAACCACTCTGATTTCTGTCACTAAATCCTGACTTTAGTCACTTCCCTTCTTTCCTCGTGCATTAAATGCCCTTTTGCGGCTAGTGGGTTTGTTAGTCAGAGGCGTTACTTCATTAAATGAAGCGTGGGGCCCTGCTGCCATGTGGCGATTTTACTCTTAATATCTTCGGTCGTGTCCCATTCGTCCTTCGGCCTCGACCTAATAATACCGTGGTTGTAAGGCCGAGATGACCATGCCTTCGCAACTTTTCCTTTATTTTGAGGAAGGCAAAAGCGCCGCGTTTTGGATCGCGAATAGGTGCTGAGGCCGAGGGGGAAAACCCCTTCAGTTAGTGTACGACCGCGATTTATCAGGCACAAACAGAAAGCCGAACTAATCTTCGACCAACTTTTAAAAGAAAAGATGATAAAATTACCAAATGGTCATGATATTCCGTCAGCTAATGAACTTAGAAACAAGACTTTTTGCAAATGGCATAGTGTATGGTCTCATGCAACTAACAATTGCCTTATTTTTCAGAATGTCGTGCAGGATCTCATTGATCGAAAAATCTTGAAATTTCCAGAGAAAGCTACAATGGGTGTTGATCAGAATCCATTCCCAAATGCTCAGGCCAACATGGTACATGCCAACTTCCCAAGGCCAGATCAACCTCGACCAAGATTAGACTTGGGTGGCTCCGAAAAAGCAGCAGCTGAGAGAAGAGCAAGGGAGAACCAGATGGATCCTAAGGCGAAGGGTAAGGCCAAAATGTACCCAGAAGTGACAAAGGCTCTAGATGAGAAAATTCCAATTATGGAAGAACCTCCCAAAGCTATTGTGCTATGCAGCCGATGTCAATGTGAGGTCTCATTAGAGGTAGTTCTACCAAAACCCAAGGAGCCAGCCAGGGAACCGACTAAGGAGACAATCAAGGATCAAGCCCAGATAGGTAGACCAAAAAGTGCTGGGAGAAATATGATCAAAAGTTCGGCCGGGAATTACGGCCCATATAGCCCAAGGGGCACGATGGAGATGAGACTGAATAAATGACCATTACATGAGTACCAAGATAGGTACGAGAGGCCGCGATATCAGCCCAAGAGAAGAAATCATCAGATGCCACTAAAGTATGAAGATGTTGATCCGCTGAACCCAAGCCAAGATAAAAATATAAGCATGTGGGTTTCAGTGGGAGAAGGAAAGAGTCGAGATGTGGCCTATGTATCAAGACCTCACCCATCTGATGGTAGTGGTGTCCCAACTTTCAAGATGCCAAACACCAAGGCAGGACAATGGTATAGGAGTAGAGGTTCGAAGTTGCCTCCGGTACCCTTGAGCAAAACTCAAACAAGAAGGGCTCAGAGACAATATGCTGCCACTTGTAATGCAAAGTTTGAATGGGCGGACGAGAGGCAAGCCCAACTTAACCGATTGGTCGACCTTCGAGAGAAGCTTCGACTAGAAGAGTTGGAGTTCGCCAAAGCTGATGTCGTGGCTTCATTAGAGGCAGCAGCGGCCAATGAGATAAAAATACACCGACAATGGGTGAATGGTCAAGTTGTGGTGACGACCTTAGATGAGCCAATCTTGGAGTTGGAGGCTCATTTGACCGAAGCTTTTGAAGTAAACAATCTCAAGGCCGAATCTAGCAGGCTAATGAAGGTGTTGGGCGATGGGCCATCAAGAGTTGAGAAATTTAAAAAGATTCAGCCCAAGGCCAATCCTTCGACCTCCAAGAGGCAAATACCAATTAAAGTGGTGTCACCACCCAAGGTCGAGGAGGAAAAAGAGAACAACCGTGAAATGGTTGAGAATATCAGAGGAAAACTCCAGATGACGGAAGATAAACTGACAATGGAGGAGGACCAAGTCATGGTCGATGTCCAAACATCCGTACTGGAAGAAGAGGCCGAACCAACGGCCGATGTAGAGACCGAAGATACTTCAGAAAACCTAGGAGACGCCTTAGCCAATAATGAAGAACTTTATGGGGAGAATGAAGAGTATGGTAATGATGAGTATTTCGAAGACGGAGCAACTAGCTCGTGAATGTAGGGAAGAGATTACCAAGTTGGAGAGAATTGAAAACAAGTAAGACCAAGGTGAAGTTTGGGAACTTCGACGAGGTCAATGCTATGGTGGTCACACTTCCACTATTTTTCGAAGCTCAGCCAGGTCAACCACACTCCATGGAGGGAAATGTTTTTTATGAAGTCGAGTCTGTGATTCAGGTGGGAGAACCAAAGGAAATCGAGGCAATTCGGGAAATTCCGAAGGCAGAGGTAGCTCGGTCTCAAATAGTATGCCGGGTGTGGAGAAGAAAATGCCAGAGAAAGTGTGCTTTGAAATGCCCACCAAGAAGATGTCTTCTCACCTCACTCTTCAACACATTTTTTTCCCCTTATTAAGAGAATGCCCAACGCTGGGAGAAATTATAGAATGGTACTGTACTACCACATCAGCTAATAGTACTTCTATTCAAAATATGTCATATGTCATATTTTTAAAACAAATTATAGCTTTTTTTACATCTGGATTTAAAATTCTTTTTTTATTTAGAATTTTTTTTTTTTTTTTTTTTTAAGTTAAAGAACCCAAAGACGCCTCTGGAAACCACCTCCCACAACCCAATCCCCATCTTTGTACTGCCACCTAACCCAATCGCCCCTTCAGGGACTAAACACATTTCTATAGTATGCGGGTAATTCTTTTTAGGTTTGTTGATCATCATTTGTACAAAAACCACAAAAGGGATCATCAGTTTTTGTGATGATCCTCCAATCACTTTCTTTCCTTCTTCTCTCTCATATCCTTCAATCAATTTCTCGACATCACTGCTCAATCTTTCTATGGGTTTAAGTTTCAAGTGATTTTTTATGTGGGTTCTTGTTTCAGATTAACCAAAACCCTTGGGTGGTTGGTTGGGTAGTAGTACAAGGCAGAGAAGATTGGGTTGTCGTCGTGAGAGCTGGTTTCTGGCGTTTTGGTATATATATATATAATGGACGCTTTTCATTCCAATTTTAATATTTCTTGTTCGGAAAAATAAATGATGCATTACATTATATTAATTCAATTTTTAATTAATTAAAATCTTAAAATATTTAATAAAAATAAGATAAAGTAAAAGCGGGTGGTGGGGAATGGAGACAGTCAATATAGATTGATCCGAAATCTAATTCAAATATATATATATTATTCCAGAGAGTAAAAGTCCAACTGTAAAAACAATTATAATTTATTTATGAAAAATGACACATGACATTTTTTGAATGGAAGTACCACCAGCTGACGTCGTGATACAGTACCATTCTATAATTTCTCCAGGGGAGGAGTCAAAATCTCGCATGGGGGTGATGGTATGTTAAAAGAACTTGGCTTACAATGTTAGCTAATGCATAAGGTAAATTCTCTCCTAATGCAAGAATAAGAAAAGATTTCAGTACTCAAGGCATTTTAGACAACTGAAAAAAATATACAAATAATTGATGCAACAACTATCAACAATGCAACTATGTCTCTTACGCCGGCCATTTCATGGTCCTCTCATCTTCTCAACGATGTTTCTACTCTTCTCCTCAATGTGGCGCCTCTTTTCTTCCAATTTCTCCCCCATCTTCTTCCCCAGATCAAGCATCCTTGCTTTTCTCCCCATTCTCTTTCGCCTTGATTCATCTTCTTCACTGGTATGATTCTCTTTATCCAACAATATAGTAGACCTCGATGGTGATGGTGATGGTGATGGTGATTGACTCTCTGGTGTCTCCTCTAGCTTGTGTTTGAAAGTGTCTTGTGGTTCACCATTCCCCAATAAAGGGGTTCTCAATTCTTGAATAGTCCTGTCAGTACTCCCAGCAGACGGATCATTGGAACTCACTGAAAAGACTAAAGCATCCGAGGATTCACCAATTGGCTGTTCAATAGACACGGCCTTCTTGAGTTTTTTATCCTTGGGTTGTGAATGATCACTGGAGGTTCCCTTGTTAGCTTCTGTCTTGTATTTTCCTTCAGTAGGTTGGCAGATGGGTACTTCGCATACAGTGGTGGGATCATTCACACATTCTTGGTTAAGCCATATGAAAGGAGCAACCGTTCGGGGTAACCAATCATCCTTTTCTGCTAGCATCCATGGTATGCATACACTTTCGAAGTTTGGAAGAACTAGAGTTTCTCGGATTGCTGTCTGTACAAGTAAAATGAAGCTTCAGCGGAAGCACCTAGCAATATTTGTTGCTTCCACATATCACTTACGTTTTTTTAGCGAAAAATCTAAGCATAAGATTGTATGCATGCCATCAAGGACACTAGAAAAATATTTGCAAAAAAGATGCTCAAAGTTTAAGATCAATGGAAGGGAAAATACTTCCCTATCCTGCTTCATCAAATCAAAACATTGGAACGACAGAGAGTAGCTACACAGTAACTTACAGTAACAAAAAAGGATAAAAGATAAAACCATAAATTTATGGTGTAAAGGCATTCTGTTGAGCTGAGCTTAGTAGCCTTTATACACTTATAGATAGATGTTTCCGAAAGCAACAATAACTTATTTACGAGCTTATATTTGAAAAATATGAGAGATATTAGAACCATGTTTAAACTAAGGTGACATCAAGTAGTTCAGACAACATAGTAACAATCATGGTGTTGATTGAGTTATTAATAAATTGAGTTTTTTTATTATTTAATTATTATAAATATGTTATTATTCATAGAAGAGAAAAATGAATAAAAAGAAAATAAGATAGACCAAAAAACTCCATGCTTGAGTTCTAGCCATGTTTTGAGATCAAAAAAGTAATAGATCTCTCTCTCTCTCTCTCTCTCTCTCTCTCTCTCCCCCCCCCCAATTGCCTGTCACCTCTAGTCAATTGCAGTCTTAGAATCACCATCTCAGTTCCACCATGCTACCTCTATCGCACTCGCAGTTTCACAATTCACCTCCACCTTGCAGACTGCTGCTCCACCTCTCGCCCAAACCAACCAAACCGGACTGCAATTTCCGTGGACCCTCCCACTGACGAGTCCAGGCTGAAATCTATATCAGGCATGGATGTGAAGGCAAACCATAACCGGTCTGAAGGAGGTGGCTTGATATGTAACCGCAGTGTTCCTCGAAGGGATGCTATTCTTATTTCCAAAGAGAGAGGCACCTTTAGTTAGATATAATCACTCAGTCAGTGAACTGCAGAAGCTCTTGTGATAAATAACCCTTTTTTATGAATACATACACATATAAATATAGAGAGAGAGAGAGAGAGAGAGAGAGAGAGAGAGTCCAGATGACAAACACATTAACTCAAAGAAACTTATAACCAGTATCTATTCGTGATTATAAATCCCTTTGGCGATGCCCCTCTCTAGAAAATACAAACTCAATTTTCAAATGACTATGCTCAAACTTTTTTTCCAGATACTTGGATACAACTCAACTATCCAACAGTTGGTTTACTCTTCATGGTCTAATCATCTCTATCTACAGTCATGTCTTATAAGATTATGCTACAGAGAAAAAGGGCCAACTCAAATAAACACACATTATTGCTCAAAACAAAAAACTAACCGCCAAATATCTGTCTCAATGAAGGGGACAGATATTATGGAGATAAGCAATAGCCATGTTTCTCATGGAATCAAGCCATAGAAACAAAAAAGTCTACGGAATAACACATATAGGTCAGATAGCCCATCTACAAACCTGTGAAACTTGTTTGGCAATGGAATTTAGAAGTGACTTCCACCTGGATCCATAATTTGATGAAGACATATTGCTCTTAGAGCTCTTTGATCCATCTGCAACGGAACGTTTCAGGTTGAACTGCCATTATATAACTTGAAGCTTTTACTGTGGTGTGAAATTGAATTGGAAATAATATTTAGCAATGTCAAATTGGAAATAATTGCATGCTTTAAGTTCCTGTGAATATGCTTGAAGGTTTCTTTCATTCTCTACTACAAGCCTATAGATAGCAGACCTTTTG